AACACGTAATGTACAAACAAGTAACTACTCATATGGTACAGACATATATAACCATATAAGTTAAAACTGGAGTAACACGTAATGTACAAACAAGTAACTACTCATATGGTACAGACATATATAACCATATAAGTTAAATCTGGAGTAACACGTAATGTACAAACAAATAACTACTTATATGGTACAGACATATATAACCATATAAGTTAAAACTGGAGTAACACGTAATGTACAAACAAGTAACTACTGATATGGTACAGACATATATAACCATGTAAGTTAAAACTGGAGTAACACGTAATGTACAAAGAAGTAACTACTGATATAATACAGACATATATAACCATATAAGTTAAAACTTGGAGTAACACGTAATGTACAAACAAATAACTACTGATTTGGTAGAAACATGTTTGACCGTATAAGTTAAAACTGGAGTAACACATAATGTACAAACAAGTAACTACTGGTATGGTACAGACATATATAACCATGTAAGTTAAAACTGGAGTAACACGTAATGTACAAACAAGTAACTACTGATATGGTAGAAATATGTTTAACCATATAAGTTAAAAGTGGAGTAACACGTAATGTACAAACAAGTAACTACTGATATGGTACAGACATGTTTAACCATACAAGTTAAATCTGGAGTAACACATAATGTCCAAACAAATAACTACTTATATGGTACAGACATATATAACCATATAAGTTAAAACTGGAGTTGATATCCCTCGAGTAGCTTTATGCGAAATTCAACAAACAAACAAACAAAAACTCTTCGGACTATTTCATAACAGAGAAACGTGCTTCTAAATTGACCACGTGAATGCACGACGACGATTAGTTTGATTCATGAAATTGTATTAAATCCTTTTTTTAAAAAATATTAAATATCGTTAACTTTTAAAATGTCTAATTAAAGTCGTGTCTTATGTATTGTCTTGTTTGTTTAAATTTTTTTGTTTCCAGTAAATAAATATTTTTTTATGTAAGACATTAAGTAATTGTTATATTTATCTAAAATTAGGGTTCCCTGGTGAGACAGCGGTAAGTCTACGGACTTACGAGGCTAACATCCGGGGTTCGATACCCCGCGGTGGACACAACAGGTAGCCCAAGCAAACAGGCGATCAAAAATTAATTACTTAAAACAAATTAACAAGAACTTAAAACCAGCTAATTAAACTAATTTACAGAATTAGTCCATATAGGTAAGATAAAGTGAAATCCTTACATCTAGCATTGACTCTTCAACGTTGTAGCGAGCGTGCTTTTGTCCCAAGTCAAACAAGATGGTGGACAAAAGTTGTGTATTTTCCAGGTTGTTTACAGCTCCCTCTAAAGCTTGCATGACACCTAACGCGTGACGCTCAAGTCCTTGATCATCCCAAATATACCTTCCATCATTAGCTATACTCACGAAAGGAAACAAATCACACAATTCCGGATAGTCCGTCAGAAACCTGTAATAAATAAAGATATCTGTAACAAGACTCAAATTCTTAACTTATCACAGTACATAGCACCCCTCGTCAACTATTTGGTACTTTAATCGAATAGTGGGATTTGACTGTAACTCTTATAATGCACTCACAGCCTCAAAATGCGGAGGGTGATTTTGTTAACAGCAAAGATACCCAACTGATGCCCCCCCCCCGTGGCAAAGCGGTATATCTGAAGACATACAACGCTAGAAACCTGGTTTCGATACCCGTGGTGAGAAGAGCACAAATAGCCCATTTTTAACAACAACCCAACTGATTATTGAATGTATTTTATTTATCACAAACTTTCATTTTGATTTATATGTAACAGTAACTATGTCTAGTCGTTTTGCTACACTGAATAGTTTTCATTAATGAATACATTAATTCTAATTTATATAGTTAACTTGCCCTTGATCAAAGTTATTACTTCTGCTAATAATAATAATAATACGTGTTAAACGTGTATATAACACGTTTTGATGTTATTACTAATAACTAGATATTTAAGAACATTGATAATATGGTAGTTAACATATTTTAACAACCTTCACCTGTTAAAAATGAATATTCCAGTTGCTGTCATATCCACAGATAATAAGGTCCACGTTTCTCTCACTAGCTCCACCTGTCGAGGAGTTAAGTTTTCACTTAACTGAGTTCCGGTATTTCCTCTCAATACCGATGCGCCACTAACAGTACATCCCATGTCGAGTGTATGTGTTAATTTTTTTAACTGAATTTTATTTCTTGTTTTCTTTTTTCGTCGTTGTTTTTTAAGCAGTTGAAACAATTTTCATTTGAAAACAAAGTTTTCTCACTATAACATTCCTGGAAGGATAACAATAGGTCAAATAGGTCATCGACTTTACTTAACAACATTCAGTTCTACACAAGTTACTTTAAAGCTAAACTTTTACGAACAATATTTCTCTGTGGCAATAGGACTTATGCTTCGGGAACTTTGATCACAAGTATTTACATTTAGCAAACTTCTGTGAGTCAGAAGATTAGCTTTATAAACTGTTGTGCGTGAAGTCAGCTTTTCGTTAAACTCCGTCTTAAACTAATAAAACATTTAATAGTATTCATTAAATGAATATATAATAACAAATATATAAGATATGGAATACGTCTTTCAGGAAAAAAATATATACTATATACGGGGATACGTCGTTTTTTTGTTGTTGTTTTTTTCACAAGTTCCTTGTTAGATCAATGAATCATCATCAACCTATTCCAGTTTCTTTATACTGAGTTTCGTTCGAAACGTTATCGACGACGATTAAAATATTTTTTGAGTTTCTTGTGATTATAATCACACTTATGAAGCATATTTTTGCATTGTTAATTAAATATACGAATTTAGGACTAACTCCAATTTTCTAAGCTGGCTGAATCCAGTGAGATATTGTTAGGATTATGGCCAAAAACGTCGTTAACAATGAGAATACTTAACTGATTATTCAGTGTATCTGTAACGTTAGTTATTTGGTTATACCGAATCATTTTCATTAATATAAATGTTTCTTTTAAATTTGATCAAGTTCGCCCTTGATCAAAATTCTTAATAATAGTAAGTATTTGTACGTTTTTTTTTCTTATATTTATAAAATTTTCGTCGATTTCAATATTCAGACTCTACACAGGCATGTTACGTATTACTTTGTACGTTTGTGAAAGTAAACTTGTAAATCAATTTATATTCTTACTATGGAATGATCGTCTGTATTATTTCTATTGTAAGTACATAATATAGCAATTTGCGATGGCTTGTATCACACACGTTATAACCAACTACAATCTGTCCAATTACCTTCAGTTTGAAGCGGATACTTGGTGATATAACGATAACTGTTCGATCTGTAATCTCGCTAAAAAATATTGATCTCCGTGTTTTCGAATACACGTTTCCATGACAATCCTTGTTTATCCCGAATAAGTGTTTAAGAAAGAAAAAACATTTTGATAAGTAGTACAACTTACATACTGATTAGTACTTTCAGTCCCTACCCAGTGGCTCATAAGTAAGTGCGAGGGCTACTCATGCTAAATATCGGGTTTCGATACCCGCGATGGGCAAAGCACAGATAGCCCATTACTTAGCTTTGTGATTAATAACAAACAAACCAACTTGTGATATAATGTTCTAGGAATAAATATAAATAAATAAACGTATTTGTGGAATTAAGAGAATAACTTTTAAGAACGTGACACGGAGCACGTGAACGTACAATGTTTTCTTATAACTTTTCGTCATTATTGAAAACCGAATCCGAAAGATATGGTTAGTAACTTCAAAGAAAAACCTCAACTGTATTACTAAACAGTGAGACGTTTCCCACCGTTTCGGAGCCGGTCTGTTCCTTTGTTTTGTTTTTAAAAGAGGGGGTATAAATAGATGGTGGCGATAACAAGAACGACGCTAGAGGGAGCTGTAGTACAAGCCATTAAATTTTGAACGAATTACCTCAACTTATGAGCGCAAATAACAAAACTTATTTTCAAGTGTGTTAATTTACTCTCCACATCCTGTCTAGAAACAGGTGTCACGTGCGGAACGTAGTTACGAAGTAAAGTATCCGGCGTAGAATGTTTTAAACAAAGTCGAATGTGCTTACGATGTTTCACCCTAGGCTCATAAATTCAACAGATAGAACATACTCTATTATATATATATATATATGTACATGCATGCCAAGCTCGTGTGTTACATTTAAGAAACAAATATAATACATTTCCTGATCAAACCTCCAGTTATTTGTGGATACTATCCGAAAAGTAAATCAATACACCTGAGAGTAACACGAGCATATTGATGTTATATATTTGTATACAGTTGTTCTCTATTATTTCTAGATTGGGAATTGCAAAACGCAATAACGTTTGTGCAAGTTATAAACTGAAGAAGTAGGAAGATCTGAAATTCTGGGATGTCTTTTTTATATCATGTATTTAATGCACAATCTCTGTTACGAAAGTGGAAAGAGCGTGGGTTTATAAATGTTAACTGTTTAGCAAAAGCTAAAAATCAAAGTAGTCCCTGTAAAACTGTCTTTTCTGCTCAGCTGTCGAATTCGGGACAAAAAACTAAATGCCCCCAAGAGTCACAAACGAACGTAATCTAGAAGATCAAAACAGTCAACTTTTTACTGATAAAAATAACATGTAGAAACATATATAACCATACAAGTTAAATCTGGAGTAACACGTAATGTACAAACAAATAACTACTTATATGGTACAGACATATATAACCATATAAGTTAAAACTGGAGCCACACGTAATGTACAAACAAGTAACTACTGATATGGTAGAAACATATATAACCATACAAGTTAAATCTGGAACAACACATAATGTACAAACAAGTAACTACTGATATGGTAGAAACATGTTTAACATTATAAGTTAAAACTGGAGTAACACGTAATGTACAAACAAGTAACTACTGATATGGTAGAAACATGTTTAACGATACAAGTTAAACCCCGACTAATACGTAATGTACA